TTCACCACTCTCGAAAGGAAACAGAAAAGCAACAAAACGAGTATATTGAGCGACGTCGTTTCCTTTAAATGCCGTTAACCTGTTCTCCACTTCCCCGGTATTGAATCCCTAGTCTTCATTTCTAGCTGGGGGCCGTCTTAGACTTCTGCTCTTTTTATTCTTCTTCGTAACAATTACGCCCACAATTCCAGCCTTTGATTCTTTCTGGATTTGCTAGCGCCAATGGAGGAGGAGATCAAGATCAAGCACTTATCTTTCGCGCCGGATAATCCTCCGTTGTCAGTCATTGTGGCGGCCAAGCTTGCCGGCATAACTTTGCCCGCAGACACTTCCGCCGACACCTCTCCCACTCTTCATCTCTCTAATGGGTATCGTTTCTTTCTCGTTTTATCTATGCATCTTACTAATATTGGAATCGATTTGGGTTTTGGGTTTCCTTTTCAATTCTTTGTTTTCATTTTGACAAAACCCATTTGTTTTTGTTAGGCTGAAATTGCATGGAACGCATGTTATTCTAAGATATATTGGTCGAGTTGCTAACCTTTCTAATTTCTACGGGCACGATGCCTTTGAATCTAGCCAGGTAAGTTCCTTTGGTTTGTTGATATTGAAGCTTTGTGTTGTGGCCTCTTTGTGGGTCAATGTTGAGTCTGTTTCTATCCAATCCAGGTTGATGAGTGGTTGGAGTATGCTCCCATCCTTTCATCCGGTTCTGAATTTGAGAATGCTTGCACCTACATGGACAAGTATATGGAGAAGCGTACTTTTTTTGTGGGTTATTCATTGTCTATTGCTGATATAGCAATCTGGTCAGGCCTTGCAGGTAAAGTTTCAAAATTTTTGTCTTATTTTAGTATTATAGAGGATTCTTCTGAAATTTTGGGATATAATTTGATTTTAACTTGCAAAATATTTGACTGCATTCTGAGACCTTTGTGGTCTCAATTGGATTGTATGCCATCACAAAATAACATTCTTGGCCATTTTGTAAAAGTTCACTGGCAATTGATGGAGCCCCTTTTGACGCCCTTTTTCACCATCATTTAAACTGCTATAACTGCATCCTGTACTTTCTAGTTTGTGCCTTGAATGTTCAACGTTGGCTTCCATTGCTTTCTAGTGCTGATTCCTTGTCTACTTCTATGCTTTTTAGGAACTGGGCAAAGATGGGAGAGTTTGAGAAAGTCAAACAAGTATCTGAATTTGGTTCGATGGTTCAACTCAGTTTCTGCAGAATATAGCGATGCCTTGAACGAAGTCACTGCAACTTATGTTGGTAAAAGAGGCTTGGGAAAGCCAGTGGCATCCAAACCAAAAGAGCAGCAAAGTGTAAATGGTGATATTTCTGAGAAGGGGAAAGCGGGAAGCAAGCCTTCTCATGAAGTGGATCTGCCAGATGCTGAGATTGGAAAGGTGCGTTTGCGATTTGCACCAGAACCTAGTGGTTACCTTCACATAGGCCATTCAAAAGCAGCTCTTTTGAATCAGTACTTTGCTCAGCGCTACCAAGGTCAAGTGATTGTGCGCTTTGATGATACAAATCCTTCTAAAGAGAGCAATGAGTTTGTGGAAAATCTTTTGAAAGATATTGAAACATTGGGAATTAAGTATGAAACTGTTACATATACTTCAGATTACTTCCCTCAGTTGATGGAAATGGCTGAAAAATTGATCCATGAGGGTAAAGCTTATGTTGATGATACACCACGTGAGCAAATGCAGAAAGAAAGGATGGATGGCATTGAATCCAAATGTAGAAGCAACAATGTGGAGGAGAATTTAAAGCTGTGGAATGAAATGGTTGCTGGCTCTGAGAGGGGTTTGCAATGCTGCGTCCGGGGAAAGTTAGACATGCAAGACCTAAACAAATCACTCAGAGATCCAGTCTATTATCGTTGTAATCCAGTTCCCCACCACAGGATTGGATCCAAGTACAAGTTATACCCAACTTATGATTTTGCGTGCCCATTTGTTGATTCCATAGAAGGTATAACGCATGCTCTTCGTTCTAGTGAATATCATGATCGCAATGATCAATACTATAGGATTCAAATGGACATGGGACTCCGAAAGGTTTACATTTATGAATTCAGTCGCCTGAACATGGTCTATACACTTCTCAGCAAGCGGAAACTTCTATGGTTTGTGCAAAATGGAAAGGTTGATGGATGGGATGATCCTCGTTTTCCTACAGTCCAAGGAATTGTTCGTCGAGGACTCAAAATTGAGGCATTGATTCAATTTATTCTGGAGCAGGTATGACCGTGTAGCCATTAGAGTAACTTAAGCAGTCTATAATAAATGCATCATCATGGTCTTAGCAGCCACTATTTTATTTCTTTGCATTTTCATTGCAAACCGGTTATTTTACACTGTTCATATGAATTTTTTTTTTTTATGCAAACAGTTGTTTGTTTTATAGAATAAGCTTTTATTTTCTTAAATATTAACATATGCATGATTATGTTTCAGGGGGCATCGAAAAATCTCAATCTTATGGAATGGGACAAACTCTGGAGTATTAACAAGAGGATCATTGATCCTGTGTGCCCTCGACATACTGCCATAATTGAAGAGCGACGTGTTCTGTTGACCTTAACTAATGGTCCTGATCATCCATTTTGTCGTATCATCCCCAGGCATAAGAAATATGAAGGTGCTGGAGAGAAGGCGACAACATACACAAAGAGGATATGGATAGACCATGCTGATGCTGAATGCATCTCAGCGGATGAAGAAATAACCTTAATGGATTGGGGGAATGCTATAGTGAAGGAAATTATTAAGGACCAAGATGGAAATATAACACAATTAGTAGGCGTTTTGCATCTTGAAGGATCTGTGAAGACCACTAAGTTGAAACTCACGTGGCTTCCAGAAACAAAGGAACTAGTCAATCTTACATTGATGGAGTTTGACTATCTCATAACAAAGAAGAAGGTATGCCCCAATTAACACTCTATTCGCCTGTCACCCATTCATCCATATATAAAAAATAAATAAACAATACAGAATATTAGGCATGCCATATGTCCTATCAGTGTATTCAGATTCCATACTGCAAGGGACTTGTTATCCATAAATTTGATTTCTATTGGGTTGGGAAATAACTTAAGTTCAAGCTTGTTTTGTCCCCAAGTCCAGATAAAGGACCGTTCTAGGTTTAATATGCCTGATAAACCTAAATGCATCATAAGGCGGATGAGAATGAGGGACTTGTTATTGTTGTTAAATTATTTTTTAACAATATGGTTTGTTGTGCAGATCAGACATTAGAAATAGGAAGTAGAATTATTTCTGCACATCTAAGTTTGTTCTAGATACAGTATTCAATATTTGTATATCTGATATCATTGCCATATCTTGACTTTAAAATGATATCTTTGTAGAAGTTATCTGGCACTGGCCTTAACAATTTGAAAGAGTGGCATTAACTTGACCCTTTGAAGTTGAGATATGGTTGTAATTTACAATTAGTTATTTTAGTATCCATTGTATTGTGGCTAACTGCTCACCTATTGATCTGAGATTTAGTTAGTGTGTGGTTTATGCCATTTAGATTAAAGAATTTATGTTTTCATGGATGCAGCTGGAGGAAGGGGAGGATTTTCTTGATGTGCTGAACCCATGCACTAAGAAGGAGGTTGCTGCACTTGGGGATTCCAACATGAGCAATTTGAAGCGTGGAGATATACTGCAGCTGGAGAGGAAGGGCTACTTTAGATGTGATGTTCCATTTATTAGAGCTTCAAAGCCACTGGTTCTATTTGCAATTCCGGATGGTCGGCAGCAAAGTGTGTTGAAGTAAGAAGTTTGCATTTGACTAGAACCTCTACTGTCAGCAAAGTGTATCGAAGTAAGAAATATGTGTTTTGACTAGACCGGAATCTTTACCCTTCAGCTCTTTTCTTTCCATTGTACCGGCTGCTTTTCGAATGTATACTCCTATGTTTTGAAGATGTTTTAAAGAATAATGCTTTATGCTTTATTTAAATCTCAAGTTATTGCTTCTTCCTTGGCCCTACTAATACCATACTACCGAGTACGATGTTGGGTATTTTGCATTGGATATATGGAAGAAAGGATACAGATCAGAGGCATCTTCACTTAACCATTGATTAATTGAGGGGTAGATCTCCTAATATTGGAACCTCAGTTCTCAATCAATAGTTAAAAGTACTGCAGTTCGTGAAAGACAAACTACATTATTATTCTATGGCTATGTCCATAGAAGGAAAAGGGCGCAAATTATTGTACTCTTATTATTTATGCCCTCCTTTCTCTACCGAACTGGCTTTAACCGTCAGAGGAGATCATGGCCATATAAAATGGAACCTCCTGCCATATTAGCAGGGTTTCAAATAAAAACCAGAAGCTTTAATAAATAACAGAGGGTTGGATTCACTGTTTAACAAGTATAATCTCGTAGATAAGGTATGAGGTTTAAGTCTTGAAGTCAACACTTGTTAACACTTGAAAAAATTAATTTGTTAAATACATCATATCAATTTGAGAATGTACTCTTTAAGATCACTTGAAAAGTGATCAACCTTTAAATGTGCAAAAATTAATTTAGGGACATCTTGACGGTAAATATTAAAACAGAACCTTTAATAAATGTGTTTTTATTAGGATCGGCATCTGCATATTGTACGTGACTTGTGCTTGATAATGATCTTCCAATGTAAAATGTTGTGTTGGAGTATTTTATCCAGAATTAATGAAATGACTACAAGTACCCACCGACTATTACAGCAATGGCATTAAGAACATCTATTTGCGAGCAAACCTTGACTTGATCTTCTCAACTTCTGGGGTAGCAATGTGAAATGCCTTGGTCAACACATCCTCAGGCACTGCTGGTGTAGCTGAAAACAATGAGGCAGCAACAGACTGCGTCCCAGGTAGCTGGCTGTTAAAGGCAGCAATAACTGCTGCATCTACCTTCCCAATGTTCTTCTGGTAATGTAGCAAGCCTTTTGGAAACACAAATACCTCACCCTTCTTGATATGTTTTGTCATCAACGCATTTGTTGTGGTTATGAATCCAACCTCCAGCTCGCCTTCCAGAACAAAGATCACCTCAGAAGCACGTGGATGTGAATGAGGAGGGTTGACACCACCAGGGGCGTAGTCAACCCGTGAAACGGAAACACCCAGGGTGTTGAAACCCGGTACTTTTTCAACATTGCCTGGAGTGACTGCAACGCCCAGAGTGTTGTTGACAGGGTATGGGTTGGCAAGGGCAGCGAAGTAGAAATCATCTGATGTTACAGTTGCAGCATTCTTGCAAGCGTATCCATTTACTTTAACTCCTGTTATATATGCATGGAATATGATGTGTTTAGTAATTGAAGGGAACAGGATGAATGAATCCTTGAATCTTTTTGAGTCTTGCATTGTAAAGATTTATTGTTGTGCTTTTTGCGTACAAAATAAATCACTTACAATGTGATGTGGAGAGACACGGTATGTTATGAATGTACAAAATTTACCTGCAGACAAATCAGCAACGCAGAGGTCTTGAAGCAAATCAGAATCTGCAGCAACTGTGGCGAAGAAAAGAGCAAGAAGGGTTAAAAAAGGCCTCATGGTTGAGAATTATAAGCAACGAAATTAAAGGGGAGAATAGTTGTTGGGTGAGGGGGGGAGGCAGGGAAGGTATTTTGGGGGCATATATAGCGAGGGATAGATGGCTAAATTTGGGGCATTTGACTTTACCCCATTTGCATCCCCAGCAAATTCTTCATCACAAAATGTGTCGTTGTGATAGATTGTCTCCAACAAATTCCAAACTTAGTAGGCATTTAGTTTTATCATACCGCTATCCATGTTGTAGATGAAGCAGGACTGGGATTTTAATTTGTTACTTTTTTCTTTTTTCTTTTTCTTTTTTTTTTTTTTCATTTCCTTCTCATTAAACCTTTTCTTAATTTGTGGTTCTGGTTGGTAATTTTTTTATACTCGTAATAACATTAAAAAATTACATTTCTTTGCATTAAAAAAAAAAAGAAGAAGATAATTTAGGATTTTTTTTTGGCTAAAATTTAATTCACCGCCAAAAGTGAGAATAAAAAAATTGAATAAACTGTTTAGATTAATTTTTTTAAATCAATTGATAATTGATAATTAATATTTAATGACTAATAATCTTTGATATTTATAAATCAAAATATTTCATCTGTTTGATTAAAATCAACAACTAATAACTATTTCTAAAATTTCAAAACAAATGCTCCTAAAAGCTAATAGAAATAAAGATATTTCTCTTAGATATAAATGCTTAGTCAAACCTCAGTATGCAAAACACCTGTTGGCAAAGCCCTCCAGAGAACTTTTTTTAGAAATTACTCAAGATTGTGCTTTTGATCTACAAAGAAAGAGATAATAGAGGCATTATCCTCCAAGGAGTTGGCTCCACTTTTAGATTTGCCTTCTGCCGTTGCAGCTGAATCAATAGCCACTAGCCAGTGCAGGATATCAGTGAAGTTACATTAGCTATTTGCTATGAATAAGAATGCCAAAAGAACATCAGAAGTACCAACAGATACAAAGCCTAATGAAAATTGAGAAATATGACAGGCGGCAGGAATGGAAGCAGCAAACAAAATAATGGGAGAAGTTCAATTGGATTTGGATTGTTCATACATTCTCTAGTGATGTTCTCCCTGGCTATAAAAGTAATTGAATCAATTACACATTATGTATCCTGTACAGGAATTGCTAAGGTATTCGACCTTGAAACTTGCAACCTTTCAATTGTATCAGCTTTATCTAGTAAATCAGCCAGCATGCAATCACTACATTACTTTTCCAGCTTGCATGGTAGATAAGATATATGTTTTCCACCATAATGCCATTTTAAAGAGTGAAACAACAGGATATGAATCAGTTTCCACCATAAACGTTATCACCAGCCATAAAAATAACAAATTATAAAAAGGAAAAGCATTAATGAACAGGAGTACCTCTCCTAGTAAATGAGGTGGAGGAGAAAAGACATTATATAATAAAGTAACTTACCTGTGAGGCAAATAACCTGAAACTTATGATTGGAACAGCAATGGAAAGGAGTGCATATAACAGACAACTGAGGTGTGTAAATAAGGAAAAGTTGACCATGCGAGTGCTTCAGATGATAGCATCATAAGTTGTGTTCATGCTTAACTAGCTGCTAACTACAAATGTGGCATCACTGAACATGCTTCTGCAATAATCAGAACAGGAAAATTTCTGAAAAATGCTATTAATAAAATATCCATTCCTTAATAATATTTTTGGAGATATGCATAACAAGATCTCAAACCTCAAAATCAAAAAGCTTCTGAAAAAAAATGGGAACACCGGATCTTTCATGGATACATTCACCAATGTTAGGTCACTGCACAGTAGGAAGGAAACGGAATACAGTTGGCAACAAAAATGAGAAGGTTGGAAACCCAACAAGAAAAAAAAATAAAAAATAAAAAATGTCAAGCCTTTAGGCTAAGGTAATTACAACCATACATAGGCAACTAAAGTCATACTGAAATTGAAGAGAACTTGTACAGGAAGCAAACACACAACTGCAAATACAAAAGAAACTCAAAACAACAGTATCAGGCTCCAGAGGCCACAAAGGTTCAATATTAAAGCAACAAACCATAGCCTTTTCGTTAAATTATTCCCAGCAAATCAAAGAAACTTACTTGGCTAGATTCAAATGGATTGTGCCTGTAGAGCTTGGAAAGGGTAGCAACTCAACCAAATATCTTAAGAATTACATATATTCCCTGCAATTTCAGCCTAAAAACAAAGATATTTTCCAAGGCTATAAATGCACTGCAATAGGCTCAATTATTCAAATAATTAATATCTTCATATTCAGAAATAAGCTGCATTCTTGATGTCAAGAAGTTGATAGAAATTAGAACCAAATGAAATGGTCATATTTACAAATTCAGGAGGTACAGAAATGTTTCCAAATTCTGCAAGAAAACCAACAAATAAAACCATAAAAGGTTCAGCCAAGATACAGCATAAGACCTAAATTCCTCTTTCCCTAAACAAAACCATACTAACCATGGCTGGGGCTAACCTTATTTTTGTAAAAATTAGTTATGCCCGGGACTTACTGGATGCAGCAAGTTCCACGGATATGATGAAAGTTGATTTGCCTGCTTCCCGTAAATATTGTATGTCTCCGTTCATGAGCTTTACCAGCTTTCGGCTGATGAACAAGCTGATGCTCTCTTCAGATGAATCTCCATCATTTCCAAACATCTCATTCAGCAATGCCTCAGGTATCCCACTACCACCATGTGTTATCCTGTCATAATATGAATTAGATTATAAAGGCCAGAATTCAGCCAGTTCCTACATTTACTTGCTAATGAATTAATCCAAATGAATGCTTATACCATGCACTTAAGTCAATGCACAGGCCATGAATACAGACACATTTAGTTGTGGAGAGATGAGTATGCATATTCTCAATCATCTTGACATATGTTATATTATATATATATATATATCCATTATTGATGTAAGCACCAACGAGGAGGAAAAGCAGTACCTGAGCTCCAAATGTGCAAGATGGACAGATTGTCCTAACTGATCTTTGGTCAACCTAGCTGATACAACAAGCTGACCTCCAGTCGTAAAATTAATAGATATCGACAAGAAATCAGCCAAGACCTGTTGAAGCCGAACACTGTCTCCATATAAGGTTTCTTGCATGATCTCTTCTGCTGTGTCATTGACAATTCTGATACCTTTCCCATTGCTCATCATCATCACTTGACTAATAGAGGCAACCAATACTTCATGCAGGGTAAACTCAGTCATTTCAAGATCCAAGTACCTGTTAAAAATTATATATATATATATATATATAAGAGAGAGAAAGGGAGAAATCATAATAATGCAGTGAATATTCACATACTCACGTGTGAACCTATGACCATGAAAAATGCAATCAGGGGAGCAATTCAGAAAATGCAAAATTTTCATCAACACCGAGAAAGCACAACTTTGAATTCTAAACTAAGTGCCGTATGAATTTTAGAAGCAATCAATGTTCTTGAGAAAAGGAAAAACAGTATTTAGAGAGTTTCATATTAAAGAAAGCACAAGGTTAAAATATTAGAAGATGCTTCAAGAAGAAATCTCATTGTGTATCCTAAATGCACCCCAGTAGGTAACAATCTCATAATCATGATTCCACTTGGAGTGGGACACAGAAGGCTTAACCTGAGTTGCAAGAGGCATGCTAAAACTAATAGACTAGGATTGTTTGGTCTTGAAACCCCAAAGGACAGGCAGTTGAGTTTGAGCTCAAGGCAACAAAATCTTGGCTAATTCACTGCATTGAGTTCAATTTGTATAGTTTCCAGCAAAGATCTATAGCATAGAATCTAACAAAGGAATTCAGAAATATGACAATTTGTTAAAAGTGCATGCTCATGGTGTTAATGATAAAAAGTGCATTGACTTCATACCCTTCAATGATGCTATCAAGATCTGAATCATCAAGTATCTTGCTTATTTGGCGCTGGCACAGGGAACTAGTCTGAAGAAGGCATCTTTGTTCTGCTTCCAACTCAGTGCCCTCCATCGTTTTCCTAGTGAAGATAATTCCAGACAGAGGATTACGAACCTGCCTTTTCAGATAAGCTAATGCTTTCAATCTCTTGACAGCAGTTTGCTCTGACAGTCGCTGGACATGAAGTGCTTGTTGGAGCTCTGCACTTGCAAGCTGCAAGAAGCAAAAGACACCAGTGATGACACCCTCTCTGTCCAATTTCTTATTCACACATAACAAACATTCCACATATTTTCCACTGCGAGCAAAGAAACTAAAAGGAACTTTTTCAGGGTTGTGACCGGCCACCGCATTATTAAGTACGACACCAAGTTTAACAAAAGCCTCTTGATTCTTCAGACGACAGCATGCAAATTGGGTCCCGAACACCTCTCCCAGAAGCATTTTATCCACTACCTCCTCCCGCCTCCACCCAGTTAACTTTGTCATTGCTGGATTCCACTCAGAGCACCACCCAAATTCATCAGTACCAAATATGGGAGGAATCAATGGGTTTGGATTTTGTACGATTGCCTTGTAATCACCTTCAATCCGGGTGAACTTGTCCATGACAGTCTTCTGACCAGTGACATCTTGGGCCACAAAACACACACCCACAACATTCTCCTGAAGATCCCTACTTGCACAAGCATTAACAACTAAACTGATGGGGCCAGCTTCTATCCTTGAACCATGTGTTTTAATTTCAAATTGGATGTTCTTTTCCTCTTTGCCTGACCAGGATGAATGAACATGAACATAAACATAAACAAAAACTGTTAGCAAAAGAGGGGTGACTACAAAAATCTGCCTACTAAAACATAATGAAAGTAAACACACATCAATAACACAAACTAGGTGACATTTCAATTTCCTAGCCTTTCAAGTGTTTGGTCTAGTATGGTAAGCTAATGTCACTTTCTGGGGAACTAAAGCACACAGACCACATAGTCAACAGCTCATCCTCATTATTCATGTCACTCTTGTCTATTTGCATTGTAGGTGAAGAGAAATTGTTAACAAGTTATGACTAAGAAGAGGTAGGGCACATACCGTGTAATGCCAAGTCTAACATTGTCCTTACTGTATCAACTGATGAATCTTCGACAAGCGTGAGCAAATGCTTTCCAATTGCTTCATCAACAGGAAGACTAGTTAACTCAGCAATTTTTGTATTCCATCCATTAACCAGCCCATCAACATCAACTGCCAAAATGGGGACTGAAGCTGTCTCAATTAAACGAACCATCTCACTTGTCACTGCCTCCAGTTCTTGCATCCCTTCTATCTTGAGGTCACTCAGCTTCGAATGAATTGCACGGGAGCTTGTATCCATGGTTTCAATATCCTTAAATGCATTCCTCAAAATAAGCTGCAGAGAATGAATTGCATCCATTTCATAATCCTTCCAAGGCAAACTCCTTGACTTGACAACTTCAAGGAAAGCCTTGAAGGATGACCTTGGGTGCATCTTCCTGCCATCATCCTTCTCACCAGGTTCATGCTTTGCACCACCCCACCGAATTTCTGCAGCAGCATGGGACCGAAACCAGAAAAGCAAGTCCTTGGGGGTTATCCTTACAGCCGCCATTCCACATACAACATCACCTAAGGCTGAAGCTCCTGGGAACCCTGCATCATGCAGGCTATCCGTACTCAAACCTGTGGAATCCATATGATATTCTGAAAGCCATGATGCAATCTCATGCAGCTGGAGGTCACTAGGAGTTACTCCCAATCTCCATATCTTGTTCTTGTATAATAGGGCAGCCCCATCACATTTCACCAAGTCCATTATATTTGGTTTCTGTGAGACTATGCCCAAGGGTGCATCCCGCATAAGCATATCACACAAAAGTGTCTGGGTACGTAGGATATTCTTCTCAACAATTTGATTTTCTAACTCTAATTCTTTATTGACATGGATGGCAAAAACTTGGGTCAAAAACTCACAGGCATACCTAAGGGGGAATGGTACAAACCTTGGAGTAGTGTTGTGGCAAACTACTAGACCCCAAAGTCTCTTTCTCTTTTGTGGTGGTTGTGCAGAATCAGGACTGTCATCATCCTCATCTCCCTCATTGACAACAACTGCCATAACAAGAGAAGCAATAGAATTCATATTCTCCATATACTGTATATGGCAGCTGTGTGGTGCCCTTAGGGTTGAACCACACAGGGTTAGATCCAAAGGAAGCTTCTCATCTTGAAGAACCTTGACATGCTTTGCTCGACAATCAACAATCATTCGGACCTTATTCTTCATAAACAAAAATCTTGATGCCTGTGGGATATCGGTAGCTGGATAATGCAATCCTAAATAAGGCTCTAGACCTGGCTTTGCAACCTCAGAGATTACTTCCCCATGGTCGTCATCATGAAACTTATAAGTCATCACCCTGTCATAACCTGTTAGCTCAGAAACCTCCTGAACCATTGAATCACAAAGCCTTTCCAAGCTCCCACTAGGCAAAGACTGCAACCGAGCAATTGCTTTGGCTGCTAGCTTGTATGACTGCAAGGCCCCAGCAGCAGTCATGGGGACCTCATAAGGTTTAACAGGCTCAAAATCAATGATCAAGCTACCTGTTACGCGGTGGACAATTGCATAGAAGGGCTTCCCAGAAGTCTTGCAATGAACCAAGATGGGATTCAAAAGAGAAACTTCCCCAATTCCAAGGGCTTTCAGTAATGCAGAGGAACTAGGGGCAGTAAAGATTGACCGTATGTCTGTTCCAATGCCAAGAGCCGGATGGTCTCCAACACTTGGGACTGCATGACTAACCATGGTCAACATTTCAGGGGCATTTTCGCTGTATGCTATGACTTTGTATGTTTTCTCATCTAAAGCTAGCAAGCACCCAAATGGTTGTATGAACTTGCCTTTCTGTATTTGATGGAGATATGTGGTGGTTGCTTTGTCTGCTCTTGGTTGCTGATCCCCACTGATGCGGACCGAGCTAGAGTAGTCAAAGGAGCTGCCAGACTCTTCGAAATCTGCATGGAGCTTTGCATCAACGGTGGTCTGTGCAATAATCCTAGCACTGTGTCTTGATCTCCCCGAGGTGCTAGAGGATTGGCTTGGTCTTGAAGAAGACATTTCCACTGAACAGTAACAAAGAAACGAAGGAATAAATACAACTAAGCAGAAAAGAATCCTTGAATTGAGTTCACAAAGCATTAACAAGTATTGCAAAGGCCAGACATTGCTGTCATGATGATTTCCTATTTTATTTATAAAAGGGATTTACAAATAACAGCAAGTCAGTGACAGAGTAAATAAGGTAAGATATGCATTACTGAGGATTTAAAAATGTCCAAAATCCGTGAAGATTTTGTCCTGAATTTGAGAAATGAAAACTCAGAAGCAGAGAATTCAACCGTATATATATTCAAATCTAAACCAAAAGGCAATCAATTTTTTTTCATTAGCAACAGAGAAAGAAGGATATCAATATTTGATTTGATCCTATAAAATGTTTCCACCAAATCTAATAAGCATATCAATAATCCAAGTCCCAGACTTCAATAATGAAAACCCTATTGCTATTCGGGATAAAATATTAACATCAGGAGACGATAGGAAAACCCAGAAACAGAAAGCATCTTAATTTCTTAAAGCAACAACCTCAACAACCAAAAATGTTGCAAAAGCATTAAAAGAACAAACTTTCTATACTAAAACCATTACTGATATAGCTGCAAAGCTAAGAAAGCACGCAATTAAGCATTACACAAGGAGAAGAAGAAAAGGGATGGAAGATGGGTAGCTTCTAACCTCCTTCGATAAGAACGAAGGAAATAAAACCAAACCCAGCTGCAACCTTAGTGCTTAGATAGAAGAACAAGAGGGAAATGAAATGAAATGAGACTTGGAGCTCCCACTCTAAACCCAGAAGCCACCAGCACTCCGAGCTTGGGAAAAGCTATAAACAAATAATATGTATCACCGCCACCGCCCACGCCCACGGCAAGTACCCATTGAAAGCCCTTCACCTTACAAAGTGTGAGACTTTTAACCCCTTACCTTACTAAATTAAGATTTAAGCTCGTTAGAGAAAAATGAGGCAAATAGTAGGGTGACACGTGTGTGCTATGCACTTCACTAACTTATGCCATATTTTTTTCAAGTTGGATTCTTGAGCAACTTAAAACTTTTATATTATAATAAAAGCTTTTTTAACATGTATCCTTTAATTAAATTTTTTTATAATTAATTTATATATAAAAAAAAAGTTGATATTAAAATTTTTAACTATTTAATTAAAATTATTTATAGTATTAATATCAAAAATAATATTTTTTTATATTTTTATTTAAAAAATTATTATCAAAAATACAAT